CATCCCCCCCCTTCCTCCTCTCTCCCCTTTCGCTCCCCTCCTTCCCCTTCTCCCTACCTCCTTCCTCTCCCTTTCCTCCTTACTCTCCCCCTTCCCCCTGCTCTCCCTCCCGCCGCTAGCTCTCCCTCTTCCCCCTCCTCCCTCTTCCCCCCTCCTCTCCTCCTCCCGACTCCCCCGTTCTCCCCCTCATCTTCCCTCTCCCCTTCCCTTCTTCCCTCTTCCCCCCTTCCCCCTTCCTCTCCCCTTCCCCCTCTCCTTCCCCCTCCTCTCCCCTTCCCCTCCTCCCCTCCTCTCCCCCTCTCCCTCCTCATCCCCTACTTTTCCCTTCTCACCCTCACCTCCCCCTTCCCCCTTCCCCTTCTTCTCCCCCTCCCCGCCTCCTTCCCCTCCCCCTCCTCTCCCCCTCCCCCTCCTCCTCCCCCATTCGCCCTTGTCTTCTCCCCTTCATTCTCTCCTCTACCCCTTCCCCCTCTCTCCCTCTCCCCCCTCCTCACCCCCTTCCCCCTTCCTCTCCCTCTCTCCCCTCCCTCCTCCCCCCTCCCTTTCCCTCCCCCCTCTTCTCCCCTCCCCCCTCTCCCCCTCCCCCTCCTCTCCCCTTCCTTCCCTTCCCCCTCTCTTCTCCTCCTCCCCCTTCCCCCTTCCCCCTCCTTCCCCCCCTTCTCCCTCTCTCTCCCCCCTTCCCCCCTCCTCTCCCCTTTCCCCCTCCTGTCCCCTTCCCTTCCCCCTCTTCTCCCCCTCATCTCCCCTTCCCCCTCCTCTCCCCTCTTCCCCTCTCACCCTCATCTCCCTGAAGAGTGGACTTAATTTCCCACAAGCTTTCCTCCGCTCAAGAGATCGTATGTCTCGATATACTTCGGTCATACCAGTCCCTCTCCGGCGCCTGCGGGATGGAGAGAGATGGAGCTGTCCTATCGCCTTCCCTCTCTCTTCTCTCTTCATTTTTTTCTCTTGTCTTCCCCCCCTCTCGTCTCTGTTTATATATATGTCTCTCTCTGTTTAACTCTCTCTCTCTCTGTTTATCTCTCTCTGTCTGTCTCTGTTTATCTCTCTCTGTCTCTGTTTCTCTCTCTCTGACTCTGTTTCTCTCCCCCCTCTCTCTCTGTTTATCTCTCTCTCTCCCTCTCTCTCTGTTTATCCCTCTCTGTCTCTGTTCTCTCTCTCTCTCTGTCTCTGTTTATCTCTCTCTCCGTTCTCTGTTTATCTCTCTCTCTCTCTCTCTCTAAAAGGTGGGGCAGAGTATAAACTACTTACACGGTTTCACTCTTTAGTGATAAAAAGTTACACACAAGTAGAATAAAACACGATACGTAACTAGTCAGTGCGGTGCCCGGATCCCCCCCCCCAAGATATGCTATGTAGTATGTTATATATGCAGTGTATATGTTATGCAGGTGTATGCATGTGTGCCTGCTCGGCCAACATATCGCATAGCATATTGCACCATGCAAGCTCCATGCTGTTCCACCCCGCATGGGTGATTCTAAGAACACACCCCATGCCAGGTTCCCCACCCTCGACCCCACGCATCCAGGGGCCGCAGTTGACCTTGACCTTGGCCTTGACCTCACATTTCCTGTGTCGGGGCGCCCTCCGTCAAGAGTGACCCGAGATACTCACAGAGACAGTCTGTCCCTCATGCCACGCGCACCTCCAGCTGACCACCGCACTCCAGCCTTGCCGAGGGCCTCACGCTGGCTAGTCTCGTATGGTGTTTTATTCAACGAGTGTGTAACTCTTATCAGTAAAAGGGTGAAGCCGTATGTGTAGTTTATACTCTGCTCCACCAGTGTTTAATGTAGAAGAGTTAAATCACCTTTTATACTCTCTGTCTCTCTCTATCTCTCTCTCTCTCTCACTCATTCTCTCTCTCTGTCTCTCTCACTCACTCTCTCTCTCACTCATTCTCTCTCTCTTTCTCTTACCTTCTCCTTTTCCTTCTCTTTCTTCTTCTTTTTCTTCATGTTCCTCTGTTATCACTACGTCTTCTAATTGTTCTTTCCAAGATTTTTTGCATGTTATCATAATCACCATCATCATTATTACTGACACTAATGTTGTTATTTTATCATTATTACTTGTTATTCTATCACTATTATTATCATTTATGAAGATGATCAATATCCTCATAATCATGATTAGTATTACTATTATCATTTGTTTTTGTTATTACTATCATTATCATCATTATTGTTATTGTTATCTTCATTATCATCATCATCATTTATTGTTATTGTTATCTTCATTATCATCTTCATTTCATTATTGTTATTGTTATGTTATCTTCATTATCATCATTGTTATCTGTTCTGTTATTGGTTATCTTCATTATCATCATTATTGTTATTGTTATCTTCATTCATTTTCATTATTGTCATTATCATTATTATCATTGTTATTACCTCTGCCAAGGATGTTATGTTCTTGACAGCGTTTGTTGGCAGTATAACTCAAAATGTTGTGAACATAATTTTATGAAATTTAGCTGAGGTGTGTCTTAGCCAACGGAGATGCCATTAATTTTTTTTTTTTTTTTTTTTTTGGTTTATCGAGATCATTATCCGGATCCAGTTTTTTGAAAGCATTCATTAGCATTGCGAGGTAGGGGATAAAATTGATAGAGAGGGGATGAAAGGGAACCAGAGATAAGAAGAAGGAGGCAATGAGGAGGAGGAGGAAGAGAAAGAAGAATGGAAGAAAAAAATGATAATGATGATAAGAATAATAACAGTAGTAAGAATAAGAAGAAAATGAGAAAAAGAAATGAGAAGAGGAAAAAAAGGAAGGAAAGGAAAGATAATAGTGACAACAATACCTATGAAGAAGGAAAAGAAGCTAAAGAAAGACAATGATAACGACAGCAGTAACAACAACAAAAATAATAATGACAATAATAGAAGCATTCACATATACCTCCATCAAGTTCATGATTCGGATCCAGATTTGTTATGAAGAAGGAAAAGGAGCTAAAGAAAGACAATGATAACGACAGCAGTAACAACAACAAAAATAATAATGTTAATAACGCATTCACAGAGCATATACCTCCATCAAGTTCATGATTCGGATCCAGATTTGTTATGAAGAAGAAAAGAAGCTAAAGAAAGACAATGATAACGACAGCAGTAACAAAAACAAAATAATAATGACAAATACTAGAAGCATTCACAGAGCATATACGTCCATCAAGTTCATGATTCGGATCCAGATTTGTTATGAAGAAGGAAAAGAAGCTAAAGAAAGACAATGATAACGACAGCAGTAACAAAACAAAAATAATAATGACAATAATTAAAAGCATTCACAGAGCATATACCTCCATCAAGTTCATGATTCGGATCCAGATTTGTTATGAAGAAGGAAAAGAAGCTAAAGAAAGACAATGATAACGACAGCAGTAACAAAAACAAAAATAATAATGACAATAATAACTAGAAGCATTCACAGAGCATATACCTCCATCAAGTTCATGATTCGGATCCAGATTTGTTATGAAGAAGGAAAAGAAGCTAAAGAAAGACAATGATAACGACAGCAGTAACAAAAACAAAAATAATAATGATGCATTGTATAACGACAGCAGTAGAAGAAGCATTCACAGAGCATATACCTCCATCAAGTTCATGATTCGGATCCAGATTTGTTATGAAGAAGGAAAAGGAGCTAAAGAAAGACAATGATAACGACAGCAGTAACAAAACAAAAAATAATAATGACAATAACTAGAAGCATTCACAGAGCATATACCTCCATCAAGTTCATGATTCGGATCCAGATTTGTTATTTTTTTGAAAGGACTCATTAGCATTGCGAGAGAGAGAAACAGTGAACCTGAGGCTCTCGCTTCTTGTCATTATTGTCATTAGCATTTTTGTTGTTGTTACGGCTGTCGTTATCGTTATCTTTCTTTAGCTTCTTATTTTCCTCCTCTATAGGTATTGTTGTCACTATTATCTTTCCTTTCCTTTATCTTCTTTTCCTTTTTCATCTCCTTTTCTTCTTATTATTATTTTTAACATCATTATCCTTTTTTTTCTTCCATTTTTTTTTTTCTCTTCCTCCTCCTCCTTATCGCCTGCTTCTCCTTATCTCTGGTTACCTTTTTCACCTCTCTATTAATTTTATTATCTTTTACTACTACAATTTTCTTATCGTCTTCTCTTTCTTCTTCTTCTCGTTCCCCTTCGCCTCGCCTTTTTCCTTCTAGTTTATCATGTCCTTTTCTTCTCCTTGTCCTTCTATCTCAGATTTGTCCTCTTTCCCCTCCTCCTCTTCCTTTTCCTATTTCTCTTCATCATAATCATATTATTATTATTTCTTCTTCCCTCTATATTTCCTCTACTTTATCACCTTTTCCTTCATCCCTGAACCTTCCCCCGCCCCCCTTCCTTTCCCTATTTCCCTTCCTATAATTAATAATAATAATAATAATAATAATAACAATAATAATAATTAATAATTAATTAATAATTCATCGATTCTCTTGTCTTGTCCATGGTACGTTGACCTTCCTTGGAGTATGATGATGATAGTGATTATTGTGAAGGATTTTATGATATGATGAGTCTGTCTCCACTCCCTCGCTTTTGTTAATCTTTAGACTCTTGTATTTTCCTGTTTTTGCTTCTCTCTCTCTTTCTCTTTTTCTCCACTCCCTCGCTTTTGTTAATCTTTAGATTCTTGTATTTTCCTGTTTTTGCTTCTCTCTCTCTTTCTCTTTTTCTAAGCCGATGGGTCTGTCTCCACTCCCTCGCTTTTCTTAATCTTTAGACTCTTGTATTTTCCTGTTTTTGCTTCTCTCTCTTTCTCTTTTTTCTCCACTCCCTCGCTTTTCTTAATCTTTAGATTCTTGTATTTTTTCTGTTTTGCTTCTCTCTCTCTTCTCTTTTTCTCTAAGCCGATGGGTCTGTCTCCACTCCCTCGCTTTCGTTAATCTTTAGACTCTTGTATTTTCCTGTTTTTGCTTCTCTCTCTCTTTCTCTTTTTCTCCACTCCCTCGCTTT